GATAAACCCGCAGTCAAAATAGTTGAAGCCATAGTTTTCATCGTCACAAGCCTCACAAAATAATCTCCAAAGAACACAAAACAAACCGAAGGGCCGGTAGATTATAAGCCCCTTCCCATTGTAGCCCCCCCCCACATCGTGAATCTAGATGTCTCTAGATAGTCCTAAGACAGAAACCAATGCCCCTCTTAAGTTGACAATATCCTCTCATAGCCATAACAAGAGAGTTAAAGTGGAATTCATTTGCAAAGCATGCCTAAATATACCATTCATAACCAAAGTTCCACAACATTCACGAAAATTTTGCAAGAAGAATCCTTGCTGGAAGGGAAATAAAACACAAATTATGCTAACAAACTGACGAACAGTAGAAATAAGATCGGTCTCTCTAAGAGGACCAGGACCAGCACATACTCGCATAATAAGCCAAGTTACACATAAGCCCACGCCACTAGCCATTCCGGGCCTTCAAAGTTTGATACAAAAGCGAACTCTGACAGAATTTATGGCACACGTCTGCTGGAAATTAAAACACAGTGCAGCAATGCATATAATGAGACTCATTTAAGGAAACATACAGTGTTTTCAAGCACTGGGCAGTATAATAAATTATGGGCAAATCCCTGCAGCGCCGACCGAAAACAGGTGTGGATATTGACTCTCTTCAACCTGTACCAACAGTATCAGCTCCCTTTAGGAAAAAAACAGTCTATGGCACACGCAAATGCTAATCACATCCGATGCTTGTACATGTATAGGCCAAAAAATAACTGCTACCCATGTCTCCAACTTACCCAAGCCTAGAACCACCCTATGCTATCGCGATATTCCTAGATGAACATGAAATTGACACCAATTGTTATACAGGGTTTTCATGTCGCGCGGAACGAGTGGATGCCAAACCATATTTCTGGCTGATTAACGAGCTAAAATACTTCAAACATTATTTCCACTCTAAACTTTACCTCCCGACCGAAAGCTGCTACCTTGACGTGGTGGTCGGGCTTGAACACCGCAATGACCCAACAAGCTATACTGGCTGGAACTTATGTTCCTGCAGGTCTTACCATGCCAGAAAGGTTGTTTGGATAGCGGTTAGACTAAAAGCAGTTACCCAATCCAATCCTATGACTTCAAACAAATCACAAAATATCATGCCGGATCGGTCGGGGCCCTGATTAACAACGACCGCACTTTCTGCTGCCGTGTCACAGGGCAGAAGTGAAAAATACGCTACTGAGACACACCAAATGAAAAAGAACAAACAAAAACAGGCCGTGTGTGACCGGCCTCAAGCAGTTGTCCCCTGGGCTCTTATTATATTATTATTATTTCCTTTAGTTCCTAGAGGAACATAGGGCTTCAGCCATGCGTCTGCATTGCGTTCGGTTCTCTGCTAGAGTTTTCACCTGGCTCCAGGTCTGCCCACATGCTTTCATCTCCTCTGGGCTCCCCTGGGCTCTGCGGTCACGCAACCAACTTCCACGGTGTGGGCAGCCGGGAAGTAACAATCGCCCTCACAACCCGAAGAGCACGCGAAACCTCTCTATTCCTCACTCACCTTTGTCTTTATCTTCATCTCTATTATCTTACCTTCCTTCTACTAATGCAGCTCCTCTACTTAATGGCCCTTCACTTCCTCTTCACTTGAAACTTTACCTAGTAATTATTATTGCTCTATCTATCCTAGACAGACTACCGGTACTCAGGGCACACACACTGGTATATAAACCTCCAATATCATTATTACTGAAACCTGGTGCCACTCCAATATACCAGACGAAGATATAAACATCGATAGGTACACGCACTGTCTATGTGACAGGAACAGTGGTAAGAGAGGATTCTGTCCAATGTACTTCCTGCACACGGAACTCGATGACATGCACGACACCCTGTGGGTCAACATACACTTCAAAAGTGCTACACTACTAATAGGATATATCTGCAGAGCACCTGGCGCCTTTAGCGATTACGAAACTCAACTCATTAAAGTACTGGAGCAAGTATCCACTCTTCCATACGACCATAAGATCATATGTGGGGACTTCAGCCTACCCGAAATCAGCTGGGATTTATTTACAGGCCCAACTAAATATGACGAGCTCTTAGGCACAGTGGACACTTTTGGCTAGAAACAAACTGACACCATCCCTACAACAGGTGACGACATACTACACTTAATGTTCTGCCAAAATATTAGTCCCCTCTCAATCTTAAAGGTTTCAAGGTTTCCAGCATAATATACTCAAATATAAACTTGACTGCAATATTGCGAATCCAAAAACTTGGATTCTTGAAATCGCTTTCAAGTTCGACCTCAACTGGATTTCTTTAATTTTTTAACCAGTGGACGTGACAGACGCGAACTAGTGCCCGACACCACATTTGGTAGGTCAGGCTTAAGTGTCAGCAGGAGGTGCACCTGAAGATTAGATATAACAGGTTAGATAGCCACCCAACTTCCATGAGAGCCATTTCCGGTGGAAACTGACTTGAAAGGAAATCGGAGTTGCTCGAGGAGCCATTTGCTAGATGATTTTGATAGCCCACACTTTGATAGTAGCGTCAGAGAACCATAAAGAGATGATACTGCAAGGAATTTAAACAAAAAGCATTAAAAAGTTCTCCATAATTGTCACTGACAGACCAAATCCGACCACACCTTTAGCGATAGAGATCAGATAATGTCCGTAAAGAAATTCTATGAAGGCACGTTTTTTATCTAGCCAGGACTAGAAATCTCAATTCTGGCAGTGGCGGCGAAATTCACAGCATACTAGGCGAAGACACTTCATGAAAATAATATCAAAAGTAAGTCTCCGAGCAACGTTATAGGAACTTATTTGACAAACACTCCACTGTGTTTATTGTTATGCCATGGAAACTACTCCCTAAGAAGTTGTAGTGACCCGTTTTATTACTCATCATCGCAGCATACTTTCACTATGTAACTGTACTTTGATTTGTTTATTACTCTAAATCTTGCATGTTAACAATTGATACTTTTTGTGCTCGCTCGATTTTTGAATTTCGATTGCTGCAATAATACACTATCGTATTCCTTCGCAAGTGTCTTTTGAATTACGTTGTGGATGTCGAGTAATCGCAACGTTAGGTCACAATTATAAACGCGAAGAAGTACTAAGATATATGTGTACGCTAGTCTAGTCAAAATATAGCAGCAACAAAGTCATCAGAATGCTGTTCTCTGCGTCTTCGAGTTATCGTGGAATTGGGCGACCAATAGAATTTCGAAATCCACTGAAGGAACTGAGGGCGTTTTTCCCTCTTATATTCAATAGTGATGAAATCTTTGGAATCACTTTCCACAAATATTAAATTGCTAATCCCATAAGCATAAAATTTAATTGAACATTCAATGGACAATTTCACACTAAAACGCCTAACTCAACATCAAATATCTTATGTGTTGTATAAATGCTGAAGTCAATTTTATTTCTGCATAACAAACAGCTTATTAGAGTTAAGGCCTTGGTCATCCACGCCTGTGCAGGAAAATGTAACGTCAAGTGATGGTTGCGGGATGCAGTCGTACTTGGTTACGCCTACACTTCAGTAGGCTAGGCCAAGTGGGTAATAACCGCTCGTATTCTCAAGAACCGCACGCAACGTCAATCCTAAGAATTATCTGGAGGAATGTCAGTTACTGTTACTCACCATGGAATAAATAAATACTTGTAATTGATTGGCCACTTAGCGTTCCCAAGTCTTTGTTAATTTTCGGCATAAACTGAGTATTTTGAAGTCCTATGAAACTTGTCTGAACCAGTGAAAACCATGGTGACCAGCATGAATCATGCTTATCAGAGCAAGAGGCTATGAAGTCAAGTCCTATACACACCTAGTATTCAACCACATCGGCTTTCGCGGCTGAGTGCGATTTCCTACCATTTTCACGTCACCTTATCTTTTTCTGGAAAGTAACTTCAAAAGGCTAAGTCAGTGTTCTATAAGCAGATAGGTTAATGCGGTAGCTATCAAGCACGCAGTGAAAAGTGACATCTAGATAGTAACGAATCCTTTCCAATCCTTCGTTTAACTTCCACTGGTTTAATTAGTAACCCACTACACCCATCTTTACTTCATTCTCAAATATTCTAACTTTAACCACCTTTTGGAGAGCGGAGCAAATTTCGGAAGAGTCAGATAGTTTTCGAGTAGACCTGAAAATATTGAACGATTGGGGACAGATCATAAGTATTAGTGTCAGTACAAAAATAATCAAAGTGGTGTGACAAAGAGACCAAATACCACAAAAATTACGTCACTTAATGTGTAACTTAACTTGGTCCTATAAAGGCATTCTGCCATTAATTCATAACTAGCTTCCTAGTGGCAACCTAAGTATCGTAGCGCGTTAAAGAGCGCTAACACGATTGAACTCACATTTTTTTACTCTTTGAGTTCCTCTCCTCATGGAATTCTTTTTCATTGTCCGTGGCTACTGAGCTATCCGTGGAGGTTGGGCAATACCATTATGACACAAAGACTGCTTTCAAATGGTCTGTTGTCTTATTTCCCACACATGGTTATACATATAAATTCATGCTCAACCACTTTTCATTCCACAAAGTCCTACTCTTCTGCCTTTTCACTACCGAAATCCAGTTTCATTATATTTTTTATTATTAAATCTATTTGTTCGTGAATTTCACTAAATATGATTATTATCTATCTTTTCAGTCTTGCAGAGTGACTACCGAGAGAATAGACCAGCTCCATTAACAGCAGAGACGCGATTTTCAATCAGCATACACCTTCACATTGAGTTACCTTAGTTCTACGCAGTCGAGCGAATAGATATACTACGCGGAAATTCGCCGAAAACCAAAAACCTTTACCTTTAACCAAGAAGCGAATTTAGTTTACATTAACTCGCGGAAACTATATTGGATATTGACATTTTTTATTCCGCACTTAAGCGGTGCTGATTGGACAAATAATGCTATGGCAACTGTTTTTCTTCTCATTTGAAAATGTCAGAAATTGATGATGATGATGAATTGACAAATGCTTATTCACTTTTCCGTGCACTGGAGGAAAAAGGAAAGTACATAGGACGAGTAAGTGCTTACAGTAATCTCTTAACGGCTTTCACTTTGAAACGCAGACCAATATATTGCATTCAGTAATATTGGTTGGCAAAATATCACCCCATATTACCGACCATCTAGCTGTTGGAAGTAAATTCAGAATTAAAGAACTAAAATATTGGATTAGAGTACTATGATAGTCTTGCGCACAGCTTTTCTTCTCCAGATCATATCACTGGCCTCTTGATGATATATCCTTACCATGTTATTCATATAATTGAGGTAACATGGAACGTTTTTATATCAGAGAAAAAAGTCAAGCTTCAGAACTTTGTTAAAAGTTTTCAGAGCAATTGACAAGTCAGATAAAATCATCGAATGGTACATGAAGTTACACACGGAACGGATAAATTTGAACATAAGTGAGGAAGAAGACAGAAAACCTTTCTCTGGTTTTGATAGGCAGACCATACAAGAAATGTGCAGAAAATATGCACTGGCACCAACGATACATAATCGGATACTATGTTCACTAGATAATGTTGTTCATCGAATATTTCGCACATATGAGGTTTTGGTATTGGATATGGAAGCCACTGTTATATCTGACTACGATTCTAATGAAACTGACGAAAAGAAGCTTCTTGACCTACTTAGCCAGGTGACAAGGTTAAGTGTTCATCTTGCGGAAGAACCGATGAAAGTAAGTTACTAATTATTCACTAGGTTAGCTAGTGTTTTCAGTTTCGTTTATAGATTAATGTAACTTTTAGATTATTTTAATAGTTGGGTAGTTCAAAGAATTCTTTCACCTCACATACCTTTTAGCTGCATATAAAAAGTAAATATGCTGTAAAAATCAGCACCTAACTAGACTACAAGCTGTAATGACCTATAATTAGTTCACTACCTCCCTGTAGTATTTTAGTGATGATAAGAGGGCTGAAAATGTTGATCTCTTTTCATAACGGATGGCCAGTATTCCTCTCACCATCTCATCAACCACCCCTTTTACCTCGTCCGGGAAGAAAAATTACCTACTTGTATATCACATTCAGGTTTCTGAATTGAGTAGGTAATATACGGTGTTCCGAATGTATCCTCATCAAGAAATCTGAAGGCCATATGAAGAAATAACATAAGACTGTACTAATCGTAATTTTTTAAAGTGTGTTGCTATCTTGAACTTCTACTTGACAAGAATTACTGGACCGGTTTCTTCAGACCTAAAATATTGTTGCATTCAGATAATATAGTCACTGATCAAAGTCCATCTTTGAATTTTCAGTCGAATCAATTTCTAAACCTATATTGCGGCTATTTGGTTCAAAGCCAATTTAGGTGCTTATATATATATCTTTCATCTTAAATAACCGACAAAACATTCAAAACATCAAGAAATAACCAGAGTAAAGGCTTGAACACACTCGATAGCTTATTTATGTAAAGCTGAAACCTGAAAAAGTTGTCGAAGTGCCCCTAATGCTCATCAGTTTCTGTCAACATATTTCCCTTTCTGTGTCATTATTTCTCCTGTCATACAAATAATCATCAAACTACTTCTGCATATTCGTGCTTAGTACGATTTTTAGGCCTGAATGAACACTTACGCAAATATTTCAATGAATTAATTATACATCAGGTCAGCAGGCAGTCGATTGTTCCCAATTTCTACCGATAACTTTTAAGCTAGAGATGAACTTAGTGCATATGTGCGCATGAAGATAGTGAGATGACCTATTTTTGAAGTTATGATTAACAGAAGTGTGGCTTTCAGTGGGTGATTTATGTGCAGGGTGGCTTGAGAAAGTGTGAATACTGCAAATAAAGCAAAATGCAAATGTGATACTCTGGTTGCTAGTTGAGCAGATGATACATAATGATGATATTGATACTGTGATGTGAATACTGTAATTTCAGTATTGAAAAGTTACCAGATAAAAACTCAATTTAATATAGTATAAAAAAGGATTGTTTGAATACAATAACAAATGTGAAACATATTGCATAAAACTGGGTAAATAAGTGATGCTAATTGATTTAATAGATAGGAAAATGAAGTTGTAAGAACGTCTGAACCTAAGGTCTGTCAATTAGGAAGTACGGAGATGGAAAAAGACAGAGAAAATATTCAAAATTTTATCAATCAACCAATTTTTATGTAGAACATGATGATGTGATCTTAGGCGAAGTTGAACTAAGTGGTTGTCTGATTTCCTGATGTTAATTGTTACTGTTTCCGCAAATCAGACTGGTGCGTTAGTTTATCCAAGATACGTTTAGTTGTACATTTTGTGTACACCTAAATGATATTAAAAGTTAACTGTCTACCATCCTATCTCGTACTTCAAGTGCATTTGATTATCTCTACGAAAGCTCACCATCTGGTATAATGCTAATTCACCTTTATTGACTAGTGTATGCTAGCTCCATTATGGATAAGATTTTATTTTGATAAATCACACAGTGTTGTACAGTTATATTAACTGATGACGTTTTGAGCATAAACTATTGCTCATAATCATATCAAGTTACTCACACAACGTTTTTCTTTCATTTATATACATGTGTGGAATCGATTAGAGATTGGAATAAAATTCAATATGAGATAATGTACATTCAGAAATAATAATACGAGTGTTACTGATCAATTACAGTTAGATGGGAAAAAGGACGAGTGTTTCTATTGTCATAATAAGTTAGTTGTTAGAATGTTTTGATGTGTTTGAATCGAAAAAGAATTTTATGATTATTATTATCGTATCATTATTATTATTATTATATTATTGTTCCCTTGGGTTCCTAGTGGAACATAGGGCTTCAACTGCACGTCTCCACTTGCTTCTATCTTCTGCTGTTCTTTTCACTTGCGTCCATGTTATTCCATACTGTTTCATCTCCTCCTCACACGATCTCCTCCATGTCACCCTTGGACGTCCCACTCGCCGCTTCCCTTTCGGGTTCCACTCGAGGGCTTGACGCGCGATGTCACTCAACGGCCTCCTCAGCGAGTGTCCAATCCATCTCCACTTCCTCCTGCATATTTGTTGGGCGATTGGTTCCTGTTTCGTTTGTTCCCATCGTATCATTGCCACCAGTCAAATGGGGGGAGGATAATAAATAATCATAAAATTCTATTTCGATTCAAACACATCAAAACATTCTAACAACTAACTTATTATGACAATAGAAACACTCGTCCTTTTTCCCATCTAACTGTAATTGATCAGTAACACTCGTATTATTATTTCTGAATGTACATTATCTCATATTGAATTTTATTCCAATCTCTAATCGATTCCACACATGTATATAAATGAAAGAAAAACGTTGTGTGAGTAACTTGATATGATTATGAGCAATAGTTTATGCTCAAAACGTCATCAGTTAATATAACTGTACAACACTGTGTGATTTATCAAAATAAAATCTTATCCATAATGGAGTTACGCGCTACCACAGTGCCCAAGTTTTATACTTACAGCAATAGTGTATGCTAGGATTAGCACATTTATAGCCTGAAGAAAACAACTACTCGCTATATGTTTAAGTGCATTGCTGAATCAGACCATTATGTTCTATTCATCAGGAGGTGATACTGATGTAATGTTCGCTACCTTTTAAGGAATTCCACCAAATAATATACATGAACAGCCCACATTGTTTTTATGAACAACCGAGTAAAAATGAGTTTTGCAACTGAAGTTTAACTTAAGTGATATTTTAAACGATTTCAGAAGTACTTTTAAACTTACATCCAAATATTGAGATTTCTGCTATGAATGAATTACTGATATGGGAGATCAGAACTCAATTCAAAATATATGCTGTAAAGTTAGTTCCAGTAAATGGAAGCATCCACTAAATAATTCAGTCGAAGAATCCAACTAGATGTGATCTTTAGAAAATTTTACGTATTCGGCTTTGAACAATTCGTGCCAATGCTCAATTAATTATCAGTTTTAATAAAACTGGAGTTTTCCTACGTGATTCTATGAAAGACACTTGTGATATTTGTTTTTGACTATAACCAGTAATGATGGAATACAATAGCACGGAAAGCACGCAAGACAGAAATCCGTATACACCAGAATTATCCGTATCCTGCATTTAAATTAATAGAAAGGAATAACAGTGAATATTTACATAGTGGACTGATAGAAATAATCAGTTACTACTACACTTCTACAGAAATAACCAGTCACTAACCACTTGTAGTGTCTTATACGTATTATCTAGAAGTTAATAGTAATTAGCTTTGTAACCCACTGATAATATTTCAAATGTAGAAGCTGGTTCTCTTTTAAAATGAATCCATCATTCCATATTGATTTGTTTATTGGATATATTATGCAGTGAAACAGTATTACTTACTAGTTGACGTTTCGAAAGCAGCTCATTGTTCATTGTCATATCAGATGATATGATTTTGATCGAAACACCATCCAGTAAATAATACAATTTCACTGTATGATATATACAATAATCAAATTAATTCGGAATTACATACTACCATAGGTTTTAAGCTTTACATATATATTAATATGTACCCATCATGTTATTTTACCCAAGTTTAATAAGAACAATTTTGTTTTATTTTACGTGTGAAGACTGTATTTTCAGATAAACAAAAATTTTTTCACTTATTTTATTGCTAACACAATGTTTTAAACCGAATTGCCTGAAGTGCTACTTATGCATAAACAGTTTTTTTTCATTCGCATTATAGGGTCAAGAAGAATATGTTCCTGAAATTTTTAGAGTAAGTTTCCTCATGAAAATCAAATGTCAGTGCTAATACACTCAGGATATGTATCGTTTAATTACCGCATTATATAAGGGTATAGAAGGCAATCACCTTATTAAATGTCAAAAATTCTAAAGTTGCTACATCTGTTTACGAGTGTCACTAAGCACGTGCTCTCCAATTGCTTTCTTTTATTTAGTGGACTAAACAAATTCTGAAAGATCTCAACAGATATTCCCTCAGATTTAATATTTCACAGATGCATATAAAAGCATCTATATCTTAGTACACGGCGAACACCAAAACATTGTCATTAAATACACACATAACTGGAAACGATGACAGCCGCATAAAAACAAGATACATTAAAAGTATTCGTCTGCTGATAATATCTAAGAAAGCAGAAATACATTTGGTCAATAAACACACAGTTGGGGAACCCTCATAATTTTTCCCTTATATAAGCTGTCACCCACGTTTAACCATTACTTCCCTACAACTGTATGACCATTTAGTGCTTACGGAAAATGTAGCTGAATTACTGGGTTTTTTCACACACAGTAGGAGATATTTGATTTTCTAAACTGCAAGCAGCTTATTACTTACTTAATGCCTAGTTATTTGTTTGTTTCTGTTACGCTCATTGTACCCGGTATCTTTCCACTGCAGTCTGTTTTCCACTTTCTTGATATAAAAAGCGTGCTAATTCAAACGGATTCACTATACACAATGTTGAATCTTCCTTTTATTATTATTCCAGAAAAATTTTCCAAAAATTGAGTTTTTCCACAACAAAAAATATGGTTGTAAATCATACTTTAGGTACAGGACTATATATTTATATATACATAAGTAGAGGGCAGTTAGGAATTCTTAGCCCATATTTTGGTGTCTGTGACTAATTTACCATGCATATGTTACAAACTTACTGTTTTTAGTGGACTCCCGAAGACTGTCTATATTACATCGAAAGAGATGAGGATGTTTATATAACAAATTTAGGAAATCTTACTCTTTCTAACAAGATAATAAGTGGTAGATTATCTTATTTGTCCTTTAAAAAGTATCTGACTAACTTAGTTTCAGTGTAGAACTTTACACAGAAGTGTGACAGCTCAAGTTGCCACACTCTATATAACACACAAAGGTAGAGAGAAAAGAAATGTGAAAGAACCATATAGAGCAGAAATGTATGGGGGAAAATATAGTAACAATAAAAAAGTGAAGATTTAATGGATTTGGAACATTCGCTCATGCAGTCAAGACAGATTCAAAGTAAAACACCTAGTTGTAAATAAAAGAAACATTTTTTCTAACAATCATGCTAACTAAAACAGCCAACTTAAGAAAATTGTTTGGCAGTAAGAAAACATCTTTAGTGGAGCAAAGTTTGTTAAGTTTATAGAAAGGGTTAATTTTTTTTCATGTTTCAGAGGAAATTGACCGAAATTTTAAGCACTATTCGTCAGGTGCACCCTGAGCTGATTCCACAACAAGGTAAGCCATACCGTAATATATACAGTATTTGAAAGTTTGTACACAAGTTGTTATAGACGTAAGGTGTATGTAGATGGTTTTTGATGCAAAATCCAGTCATTAAATAGTCCTTTGAATATTGTTTCAAGGGTAGCTACACTAACAGTTTGGTGGGTTATTTTATTTTATATTCTCGAGTGGTGCAATACTTAAGTCATTATTATACTGTTTGTAATTTAGATAAACGCACTTTTAACTGGAATCCGTTCGGGATATGAAGGAGCTAGGGGTGCGGAAGCTAGAACACGCCACTGATTTATGAAATCTTTGACCATTGGTTTGAGCCCTATAGGTCGATGCAGATTGCATAGCATCTCTGAGACGTTATATATATACATATATATGTTCTCTATTTTAACTAAATTCCACACTCCTTCACTAATAACCAGTTATATATGAATGCAGGAACACATAGCTTAATATTTTCCTCCGAAAAATGATGAGTTATTTTTTGATTTACTAATGTACAACGTTTTAACAACTAAACTACGAAAATTAAAATAGTAGAGGAAATATGTATTTCCTCATGTTTCAAGTTGTTCTACTTGTGAATAGTACACAATGCATAAAATAGATTCAGAGCAAATGATAGGTGACCGCTGACACTAGACAACAATTTAAACAATTCCCTGTGCAGACATGCTTCATCTTACTAATACAGAATACATCACTTGGTGGTAGTCAAGAGGGTACCAAAAGAAGATCGAAGTAAGCCTAAATTCATCTATGCATGTCATAACTCTAAGCAAAAAGATATATATATGATTATCCTCATGATTTACTCAGAATGAGTAATTAAAGCGAACAATCGCCTTCAATAAATTATTCTTCAGGCTTAGTTCATGAAATCGTAGGTTTTCATTGGTTCTCTAACTGAAGTTAATTTGTGATCGATCTTGAAATCAATCATATCCGTGCAAACAAACACTTGAAAATCATAACACGTTTGAAATCGAAGTTTGTCAGTGAAATAAGTAGAGACAAGTTAAGAGTGGAACAGGGATTTAAAGCTAACCTCTGTAAACATTGATCATTGGGACTTTAAATCCCTTCCTCATTATTTTCCTCTCTCCCCTTGTTCCATTAACAAAAATTAAATTCAGACGTCTTACCATTTCATAAAATTTCTTATTAGGTCTTTTACCATTAGTCATTTGAAACAAAGATTTCAGCAAACAAAATTCTCTTTTCGACGACTTCGCTTTCGTAGCTGTACAGTCATATTCATATATCAATTATAATAGACAATAACAAATAATTTTTCTAGAAATACTAAAGTGCAATAATATTGGTTTAAATGATTATGAATCAAAAAATTGATTGGCAATATGAGTGAATAAAAAAAGGCCTAACAGAAAGTTCAGTAGTTAAGCGTAAATAGATGACAAGAAGATTAAGTACATTCAAAATGTGAATGTGGTATATTCAAATGCAATAAGATGAATAAAGAGTCATCAGTAGAATAAATAAAGTGTTAGAATATGACAACGTAAAGTGAAATAAAACCAAACAGAACAACACAGATAAAAAAGTTTTGTGAATCACGTGATAAAATTAATAACATGGCGATGAAAGAGACCGTACAAACTGTATTGACAAGGCTTCCACTATACAAAGCAGGTGCATTCATGTTCCTTTCGGAAAACTTTATAGACTGTTTAATGGTGCATCAGATGCTGCGTGATCGTTATATACAGTATGCTGTAATACAGGTGAATACCTGGCTCTATCCTCTCCTTTGCTCAACCTAGCTGGGACATGTTTCTCAATGAACGTCCTATGTACCTAGCTCCACAATAGCAGGTAAACATATAAATGCGCATGGAGTGGGACAATCGAAGTGACATTTCCTTAACATTAATAATATATACGCAGCATAATCATTGATTGTGGAGGCCGAGTTGCGCCGACTAGAAGAAGCAGGAGTTATTACTCCAGTAACATATTCAGCGTGGGCAGCCCCCATAGTGGTTATTAAAAAAGCGAATGGTTCCATCCGCATTTGTGCTGATTTCTCAACAGGTCTGAATGCCGCCCTAGAAGAGCACCATTATCCATTGCCAGTACCAGACGACTTGTTCAGCACTCTGAACGGTGGAAAAGTTTTCGCGAAGATTGACTTAGCTGATGCATACTTGCAGCTTGAAGTGTCGGAGGAGTGTCGCGAGCTATTAACAATAAATACCCATCGAGGGTTATATCAATATAACAGGTTGCCTTTTGGTATCAAGACGGCTCCTGCTATATTTCAGCAATTCATGGACACTATGTTAGCTGGTATTCCCGGAGTTGCTACGTATTTGGACGATGTTCTTATAGTCGCAGCTACTCCAGAGGAGTTAAGACAAAGAGTGAGGCTGGTGCTTCGGAAGCTCAACGACAATGGACTACGGTTACGAGCAGAAAAATGTCAGTTCTTCCTCACTTCTGTGAAGTACTTGGGTTTTATCTTCGATGAAAATGGACGACGGCCTGACCCAGAGAACATTTGGGCAATCAAGCAGATGCCAGCTCCAAAAGATGTGTCTACGCTCCGCTCCTTCTTGGGAATGATTAGCTACTATTCAGCTTTCTTGCCATCATTACACAACATCCGCGAACCACTCAACCGCCTGTTACGAAAGGACCATCCCTGGGTCTGGTCCACAGAGTGTGATGAAGCTGTAAAAAAGTTGAAGAGTCTCCTTAGCTCAGAATTGCTACTAACACACTACGATCCGAAACTCCCCATCTTAGTCGCAGCTGATGCCTCAGCTACTGGAGTTGGTGCAGTTCTACTGCATGAGTTTCCGGACGGAACACAGAAGGCTGTTTTCCATATCTCCCGCTCTCTCTCCGTAACCGAAAAGAGATATGCACAAATAGAGAAAGAAGCTCTAGCATTAATTTATGCAGTTCAAAGATTCCATAAAATGCTATACGGGAGGAGATTCACCTTACTAACAGACCATAAACCGCTGCTGTCAATATTTGGGTCAAAGAAGGGTATTCCAGTCCATTCAGCGAACAGACTACAAAGATGGGCAGTGATTTTACTGGGATATGACTTTAGCATCCGATATCGTCGGACGGAGGATTTCGGCCACGCAGATGCACTATCACGTCTGACAAGCAACTATCCCTCATCTAACGAAGATTCAGTTATAGCGGTTTTGAAGACTGAAAACGATGTTAATAAATTGTTAACACTGGCCATCCAGCAGCTTCCTATTACATCAGAACAAATAAAACAGGCAACTAGAGAAGATTCAACTCTACAGGAAGCCATACAGTTCGTAAAGACTTCTTGGCCTAAATCGGTCTCAAGTCATGATCTTAAGCAATTATTCCGCCGCCGTCACGGTCTCAGCATTGTAAATGGGTGCCTGATGTTTGGGGAACGTGTAGTCGTACCAAACTCTTTACGTATGACAGCTCTAAAGCAGTTTCACAGTGGGCATCCGGGCATTGCTCGCATGAAGTCGATAGCCAGAAGTTATGCATACTGGCCATGTATGGATGCGGACATAAAAGATTTTGTTAACCGCTGTCATGGGTGTCAAGTTGCAGCCAAAGATCCGCCGCGGGAGCCACCAAGAGCATGGCCCACGTCAAAACCATGGTCCCGCCTACATGTGGATTTTGCTGGGCCGATAGAAGGTATATACTACTTGGTTCTCGTGGACTCTTACTCAAAATGGCCGGAGGTAGTACAAGTGACATCACCTTCTAGCAGCAGAACAGTATCAGTCCTGGAAAAGATCTTCGCATGTCACGGTATACCAGAAATCATCGTATCTGACAATGGCAGTCAGTTCACCTCACAAGTGTTCCAGGAATTTTGCAGGAGAAACGGTATACAACACGTGCGGACGCCACCTTATCACCCTCAATCCAACGGTCAGGCAGAAAGATTTGTCGACACTTTCAAACGAGCGTTGTTGAAAGCAGGGGGAGGGGCGAAACCGGAAGTAATACAAAACTTTCTCTTTGTATACCGAACTACACCACTGACAGAACAGAAGAAAAGCCCTGCAGAACTTCTAATGGGTCGAATGCTACGAACTCATCACCACTCCATGTTACCATCTTCGTCACATCAACGAAGAAATAGTGTGACGTATTACCGCAAGGGTGATGCCGTCCATGTGCGCGATTATCGACCGAGGAACAGAAAATGGGCCGAAGGCTTGATAGAATGTCGACATGGAACTCTAATGTACAAGGTTAAAGTTGGGGATGAATGGTGGATAAGACATAAAAATCAGATACGACGTCGATATACTACATCCCAAGAACCTAAACTGCCACTGGATTTACTACTGGAAACTTTCAAAATACCACCAGTCAAACCAGAAGCAAAACAAGAGATGCTACCCAGCCGACGATCCCAGCGCAAACGAACACAAACAGTTCCTTTCCAAATCGACCCCAAGGAAAAAAGATACTAAAGTGATTGCAAGATTCTTTTTTAAAAGGGGGAGGTAATATATACGCAGCATAATCATTGATTTCACGCATCTGCGTGATTATTGATTTAAATTACTGAATTCCCAAGGTCGTTAATATTTTTAAAATGTGACATTGATTTTTCTAATTGTATAAATACGGAGTTGTTGTTTAACATTTTCGACTGTTGTTTGAGACAGTAAAAGCTCTCATATCAACGTCCAGTCTTCTCTTTTATTTGTCTTGCGTGCCCGGCGGTATTATTGTTGTTGTTGTTGACGTGCGATTAAGACAGATTAGCCAGCGCATTAGTTAGATTCGCTCGTAGTCTACAAGGTCCTCATATTCACATACATAACAATTAAGGTGCACTTGTAGACTGCTAGAGTAAGTTATTCGTAGAGTGGTAGCAAAATTGTTTTCTTGATGACACTGTCGGCCAATTTTTAAGAACTTCACTTGCAATGTCACGGGCAAAATCTAAGTTTTGATGCAACACTCTCGTAGGTAACATATTTAACTCTGCATTCATT